TATAACAGGATTGTATTGGATTAGTTTAAAGCAAACTACATGGACGCTTTTCTAAGAAATACTCTGAATTCTAACACCTGGTTCGACTGATGTCAATATTAGAGATAACCTCATGTGGTTGTCCGTTCCCCGCAATTTGAGATATGAGAATATTCCATGATAGCTTTGTCAGGGTTAGGGCCAAGTCTTTTATAAAATGTGTTAGCTTCCAATTGCTATTGTAACACATTACCACAAATTTACTAGCCTAAAACAATTTAAATTTATTGTGTACAGTTCCTTGGCTAAACTTAAGGTGTCTGAAGGCTCTAGGAGAGAATTTCTTTTCTTTTTCGTCTACTAGAAGCTGCCTGCATTCCTTGGCTAGTGGTCCCTTTCTCCATCTTCAAAGCCACTTTAGCATCTTCAAATCTCCAACTCTGACCTCTGCTTCTGTCGTCACATCCCCTTCTCTTCCTCGAACCCTTCTACCTCACTTTTTTAAGGACTATTGTGATTACACTGGGACCACTCAGATTAATCCAGGATAATCTCCCTATCTCAAAGTCCTTAATTTAATAATATCTGCAAAGTCCTTTTGCAAAGTAAGGTAACATATTCACTCACAGGTTAGATTTAGAACACCTTTGGGGTTCTTTTCATTGAAAAGAACATTATTTGGCCTACCCCATAGTTTCTTGTTACCTTGTTTTTCATTAATTCTCAATTTGGTTCCCAAACACAATGACAGCATTATTTAACTGCAAATTGATTGACAGTGAAACATTAAAAAAAATATCTAAATGGTATATTAAAGTGTATGTCCAAGGAATAATTTCATTAAGCATACATTTTTATGTTATTCAGTTTTCAGTAGTTTAATAATTAATAAAACCACTTCAGATTTCTATACCAATGACATCACTTATAATTATGTTTCTCCTAATCATTGGAGTTTAACCATAGTCTCTGTATAATCCATTTTGTGGAGTAATTTTGAAGACGTCATTGTATATTGCAGATTCAGGTAAACCCCATGACGTCCCCAAGCTGTTCTGAGTATGCATCTTACACCACAGGCCATATGGACACAGATATGGAAACTATGTACTTGGCTTCAATGAATCACTTTTAATGTGCCTTATGCTTTTACAAGAGCACATATTACTAAACACTTTTTCCAATGTTCATGACTAATTAGTTGAGAAATATTACTCCAAAGGATTTTTTTCTGAGGTAACTATGTTCTTGTGTACCTAGCACAGTACCAAACTTGGTTTATTTAAAAGTCCTTAGAACAAAAGGTCTGTCAAAAGAGGGTCTTGATCATTGCTCTTTGGACAAGTGTCCAAGTTCTTCCTTCAGAGAGAGCCAGCAATGCTTAAAGTGGGACAAAAGTAGAGAAATAATCTATCTCTTCTGGGAAAGTTGATATGTGTTAAATTTATACAGATATTTATTTCTTGATGAGATTAATGATTAATCAATTAATTCTTAGCTTATTGTTTGGCAAGATGCAAGTGAAAGGCAATTGGAAAGGAGGCTTTTTTCCCCATTTCTTTCTAAGTCCACTTCAAGCTCCCAGATATTAGGTAAATAAAATGAAAAATAAGAAATGTATTAACTTTCATTGAAAAGAATTCATTAAATTCTTCTTTTTTTAAGAATTTCTATCAAAACTTAAAATGAACTTTTGTTGACTCAGCTTTTCCATTGCTAATAGTCTATTTACTGAAAGTACTTATGCAAGAAAGCAAAGATAAAAAATGTATACTAATAGGACACTAATTTACTGCAAAGCGATTTATTATGCAAATTAGAATTGCGCATTTGCATCTTTTTTGTCCTTCCATGTTCTGTTTCATATCTGATGTTAAAATAAATGAAAACTTTTTATTTATGTTGTAGGCAATTTTGGCTTCAAAATTACACCACAACACAATCTATTCTCATTTGGGGAATATTTTCTTTTTCCCTTGGAGAAAAATTTGCCCTAATCCAAACATGATTATATACCTTATACCTAATACAGTGACCGTCATTCTTGTACCCAATTATATTTGTTGAATGGTCTCCATATATACAATCTAAACCTCTAGTAACTTCCTTTGCCAAGTTCTCTTTAAGTCTTTTGTAAGAAATGAATTAGTTTTTAAGGGAAAACCAGTTTTTGGATTTATCTCTGGTATCTTTGACCCACAAGCCAAAGATCTTATCTATAAGGCCACACCTGTCTCCTGCCTGACGAAGTGTGAAAAATAACAGGATGAAGAGTTTATCCATAACTAGTGTTGTTTGCAATATCATTCAAGGAAAATATTTTCAAGCAAACTACTTTTATTGAATATATGTGATGTGCAGACCACTTTAACAGATAATGAAGATTTGGAGAGATACAAGTGTGGGTCAAGAAACTTGCTGTCTAATAAGGAAGTGTGAGTGACAGGATAACAGTAATAATGAGAAAATGCGAAGCAATATGGGATGACTGTCAGATGTGACTTTATTGAACTGAGGAGTGTGGCAGAGGGAAGCCGGAGGCTGTGCCCGCGGGCGCGCAGCAACAGGTGGGACTGATCCCCGACACCCGGAAGACGCCAGCAGCCACCACTCACACCAATTGCGAGTCCATTTGCCGTGACTCTGAGGCGAGCAGGGCCTGCGGGCCCAGTCGGCGTCGGGGACGCAGGCGCGACGCGAGCCGCCCCGCCCTGTCCACGCCCCACTCCGGGCACGCGGCGCCCAACTCGCCCGGCCTGGGGGCGGACCCGCGAGGCCCCGCCCCCGTCGGCCGACTCGACGCCCGCGCAGGCGCAGTCTCTGCAGGTTGGAGACGCGGCGGCTCGACCCGGCGGGGTGAGTCCGGGCAGGGGCGCCGGGGTCGCCGCCGTTTCTGGGTCTTGGCATCCGCGGCCCCGACCTGCTGCGGCGCGACGGCCTGGGGAGGGGCCCCGTGCGCGCCCTCGCCCTCCCGATCGCTGGAGCGCCGTGCGGGCACGGAGGGCCGCGTGCCCGGTGCGGTTGGGGCGGTCCGGGAGGTCCGGGCGGGAGGGGATCGCCGGGGACGGTCCCGAGTCCCCGCGTTACCCGGACCGAGGCTGGCCTCGCTGCAGCGCTGTCTCCTCACAACGCATTTTCACTTCAGAAACTTGGAATGTTGTTAGTGATCAGAGGAAGCGTGTCTAACCATGGGTTTCTGACAGCATCGCCTGTATCAGGAGCTCTGGAGAGGTACTGGCCGGATCCAGATCCCCATCCACCACATACTGGCCCCGGGACCTCTGCAGGTCACTTAACCTCTGTGTGTCCCAGTTTTTTCTACTGTAAAATGGGGCAAATCATAGTAAGACCTATCTCTTAGGGTGATTGCGAGGATGAAGTGTGTAAGCATCTTTGAAATGCTTATAGCTGAGCGTGATGTACAGCTAAAATAAGCGCTGTTCATCTTTTCGAGCTTGGTATCTAAAAGGAGAGTTTTGTCCTTCCTCTAACCCCTATCCCGCCGAAAGTAATTGCCCAAGAGTACAAAGGTAGGGAAAAAATGATTGCTTTTTCTTCTTTGAGAATATGCGCTTTGATTGCATGGCCTATTTTAAAAAATTAAATATTTCTTAACGACTTGGTTGCACAGCCTACAGTGAAGAAAAGACATGTTAGGGTAATGTTGCAGCTGAAAACTGAAAAGTTTTGTTTGGAATACCACGTGAGGAAATGAGTTAACCTAGCAGGCCTGAGACTGCTATCGATAAAGTCCTGCTTGCAGGGTTAGCTCTTGTTTGGCATCTGGGAAAAATGTGGTTCATGCTGCACAAATACGGTTTATGTAGAAGTTGCCAGCCCCCCAGTCCCCCTGTAAAAATCTTGAACCTGCAAGTCTGTAATGGGTTTCCCTGGGCAGGAACTTTTCCAGACATTGCTGGATTTTCCTTATGGGAAGAGGACTGTGCTCTATTTGATCCTTTCTGGGAGGGAGAGTACATAAAGAAGCCTACACATGGATTCCTCAAGTCTTGTGTCACTTGTGTCTTTTTCCAGTATGGTCACCCTACCACATTGCTGCAATAAACATTAGCCATTAGTACAACTCTATGCTGAGTCCTATGAATTCTTCAAACGAATCTCCAAACGTGAGGGTGTTCTTGGAACTCCCCAGACACCATATTGATGATAGATTGAAGCTCTAATAATTGGACTTTAATTTTGTCTCTTTTTGCCTTAAAGGGGAATTGAGAGAGCTAGACAGATAGTTGATTGCTTAGTGGTGGGTTACTGTGCAAAATGATTTTTAACATTTAGACATACTACCTATGTCCAAAATCACTGGAAATTGATCTACATTATCAACTTATATTTGGGTCAGTGTTTTTGAAAAAAGACACAGGTCTTTTATAGATTCTAGGTATTTGCAGATACCTGGTTCCTTCAGTTATTCTGCCAGGATTATCTATGTGTTATTGCCCATCTTTATCAAGAGTTTGTGCAGTTGGGGAAAAAAATGTCACCAGTTTTTCATAGGCCATTTTTCCTGGATTCTGCTGGTGATTCCTCTCTCTTCAGGACATCAAGTAAAGCTAGTTGGAGATAAGTTTGGGAGTGGAAAGATCAGGTTTACCATCTGATTATGTCTCTTTTTCCTCAGTAAAGTAGAAGACTAGATATAGTTTGAGGATTAGAGAGATGGAGGAGTTACAGGTTTGGGAGTGAAAAAAGGTTTAAATGTGTGAGGAGTAAGTTAGTTTACCAGAAGGTGTTAATTAATAGATAGTGGGATGTCTTGATCCATTTGAGATTGTGATTCTGAATTTAGTGGATCCAGTTTGCTTTCTTATCAGACTTGCTGCAGCCTGTGTGGATGCAGACATGGAGAAAGTAGTTACTTGGGTTCATCTATGATTGATATCCTGTTAGAGGGGTGATGTAGTCAGTAAGTCTGTACATACATATTCTCTGCTTTCTGGGTCCATGATAGGGTTGCACTTTGTGTAAACAGCCCCCCCATGTTTACTTGAAGCTAAATGTGGCCGTCTCTCTAATTCTCAAACTATATCTAGTCTTCTACTTTTACTGAAGAAATCAGATGGTAAACCTTATTTTATCTGTACATCACACTCAGCTATAACCATTTCAAAGATGCTTACACACTTCATCCTCACAATCACCGTAAAAGATACGTCTTACTATGATTTCCCCCATTTTACAGTAGAAGAAACAGACACACAGAGGTTAAGTGACCTGCAGAGCTCCCGGGGCCAGTAACATATGGGCAGATGTGACCTGTGTCCCTTCCACAAGAAGCCATGGGAACCAGCCCTACATCGGCCACTTCCCCTTCTCCCTACCCTGCTAGAGTGATCGTGGAAGCACTTGGTGCCATGCAGCCTCTTGTCAGCCTGGGCTCTAGGGGATAGGAGTGGCTCATCAGGCAAGCTGGAAGAATTCTAAGTTGTGACCAGCGCACACAGCACTTGAATTAGTGATTTTGCAAGGTGGGATTGTAGGGGTAAGTGGATGAGGAAGTTAGAGGGAAAAGGCAGCCAGGAATGAAGTAGGCAAGGGACTTGGAGGCCTCGAGCATCTCTTTAACCCCGAAGGCTTTAATTTGTTGCAGCTCAGGTCAAAAGTGAAAACCCCTGGACATAGAAAAGTGGCTCTTAAAATGATTAACTTAGAAGTTCCCTTATGGGGAACATGGTATTACTAAATCAAGACCCAGAATTTATTCTTGGACTATTGGAAGATTCTTCCACCTTGATCAATGAAAGCAAATAAACAGATAACCATGGAAATTATAGTGTAGCCTAGCCATGGAGAAGGGTGATATTAGGTGAGATTTAGGCTAAGCTACTTTAACGGAGACTCCGAATATACAGGGATTAACAAAAATGCTTGACTTGTATCTAAAATCTTTAGAATTAACTTTCAGTTTTTAAGAAATATGAGGGATAGAGGTAAATAACCATGAAGAAAGAGGCAAATTCAGTGTGGGGCATTATACAACCTTGCTATATAGAAAGTGTGGTTTATGGACCCCCAGCAATGGCTTCCTGTTGGGAGCTTGTTAGACAGGCAGAATGTCAGGTTCTGTGCCAGGCTCGCTGAATCACAGTCCGCATTTTAACAAGATGTCCGAGGTGACTCAGATGCACTGTTCTGATCTCTTAAAAAAAAAGTCAATGTTTTAGGAAAGCCAAAGATAGGAAGAATGGTTGTAGATTAAATACTAAAGTGACATAACCAGTACAAGATACAAACCTTGACTGAATTTTTTTTTTCAGTTGTATGGAAGACACTTTTGGGTCAGCTGAAGAAATTAGAATATGATGGGATATAAGATAATATTGGGGAATTATTGTTAATTTTCTTAGATGTGATAATGATGTGATTTTGTAGGAGAATGTCATTCTTAAGAGATACATGCTCTTGCAGCTTACTTTCAAATAGTTCAGCAAAAACAAATATACTTGCATACATGTATATATGTCTCTCTATATACCTACTGATATTTAGATATCCATATGTGGAATGTAGATAGTATATGGGTGTTCACTATACTGTTCTTTTAACTTTTGTGAAGTTTTAAATTTTTCATAATAAAAAAGTGGGGGTAAAAAGCATAAAAAATGCAGTAGCTGAAAAAGACAGGAATGTGTTTCTCTCTCAGTAGTCCAGCACTAGGTCTCACGCCCAGCGTGGTGGCCCTGCGTGGCTCTCCTCCCGGTCCGTGGAGGCCTTGCCAGCTCCTACTACTGTCTCCTAGCTGGTGGGATGGGCGACAGGGCCAGGGGAACACATGATCCCGGAGCAGCATGTACACTGCTGACCACAACTTTAGTACTTTGTTCACCTGGACAAAATAGGGAGACGTTAATAAAAGTTGAACGTAATGTGCCGTTTGTATATTGGTTTAATCAAGGTTTCTTTGGAGTCCTCGGGTAATTTACTAGACCAGTTAAAATTGGAATCACTTCAGTTTTAATGTGCATTCAGTAAAATACATAAAATTGTAGTTTTGAGGCACCCACTTTAAAGTGTGTTCATTTTTCTTGCCAACCTTCTCAGTAACTAACAGATGCGGGTGAAGGAGCCCAGCAGAGCTTTGCCTGCGAAAGCCAGAAGGAGTAAACGGCCTGCCGCAGCTCAGGACGAAGGCCCCTCAGATGGCCCTGCTGGTAAGCTGTGCTGCCTGGCGTCCGAAACGGTGTTGTGGAAAAGAAAGAACATGTTTTTAATTCAGAAATCCTTTGCTCTTTATTTTTTTACCATTTTCTGCGTGCACTTCAGCATCCGCTTGCCTAGTTCCAAAAAAAATACCCCCGTTTCAGGGTAGCTCGATTGCTGCGTTGAAGGCAGTCCGAATTATATCGTTAAATGTTCTGATCTGCGCGTGTGGTTTTCTCAGCGATTCCCGTCATGGTCTTAACTCTCCTTTGCCTGTTGGGTCGCGGTCACTGTTCCCCAGCTCCTCTACCGGGGCTGTGTTCGGTTTGCACGCTCCGCTCACCGTTGGCGTTACTGTGTTCTCAGCGGGGTCTGCCTCACCTTACGCCCTTTTCAGTTTTGCCTTCGTTTGGGGGAGTTTTTTTGTTTTGTTTTGTTTTTTTTCACATCTTCCCTGATCTCTGCCACTTACCGTTTTTCCAGCTTGTGCCAAGTATTTGTTTCTGTTTTGTGTCCGTATTTCGTCGGCCTGATGGCCCTGCCGTTCGTTTTTCCTTTTTGTCCCTTGCCTTTTCTTACCTATTGGCGTAGCATTTGTGGCTTTGGTGTTTCTTTGATGACCCATTTTTTGATGTAGGGCTGCCTTTCTTGGGCCAGTTTGTTTAGAGGATTTGCACAGAAGGAGGGCCACGGCCTGTTGAGACCGAACTGGACTTTTGAATTTGAGCTCATTTAGCCCTGCACTGCGGTGGGACCCTTCCGTCTTACTCGGGACATGGGGCTTTAGCTGTCTTTTGGTTTTCCTGAAAAGGGACCTTGTGCTTTTGTCTCCTGTTCTTGTTGCACTTGGATAATATCTAGGAGGAGAAAGGGGAAGTGTTGTTTTATGCTACCATTTGCAAACCAGAAGGCCTCCCTTTATTTTTTAAATATTAAGGTATCACTGATACGCGCTCTCATGAAGGTTTCACATGAAAAACATTGTGGTTACTACACTCACCCATGTTATCAAGACCTCCCCCCGTACTCCAGTGCAGTCACTGCCTATCAGTATAGTAAGATGCCACAGAGTCACTACTTGCAGAAGACCTCCTGTTAAAGTTTTTAATCATATTCAAAGCAGAAATCATGGAGACTTTGGTTCTTGTTTTTGATCTGTTCATGTGAAACACCCAGAGACTTTAATACGTTCTTATATTTTATACAGGAATCTCTAGAGGACCTATTTGTCAGATGAAATTTGGACAATTATATGATTAAACAAATTACAGGAAACTTGAGGAATTTTACTTGTTAACACAGAAAGAAATTTTTATATTTTCCCCCCACAGAAGACAGTGAATATTTTTAAAATGTGGCTTAGCTCTTATAGGAAAACGTCAAACGTTTTCATTTACTTAATCACATACAAAAAGAATATGTTGTTGAGACATTTACAAGCTAATAGATTTAATTTAGGGGGCTGGAACCTTTTTATCTTGAGTCACTTGTCTCTGAATCATAACAATTTCAGTTTTATAAGTCTGAATTATAGAATTAGAGAAAGGTTAAGTTGAGCAGAGCCCACCCCAGAGATGATACAGGTGTGTGGCAAGATTTTTCCCTTAGGATTTTAAAATGCAAAAACTCAGGCAAAAATGACTTTTTCACTCATCTGGGGAGTATAAAAACAAAGCAAAACCAGAGGAATAAAACAGCAGCAGACTCACAGACACCAAGAAGGGACTAGTGGTCACCATAGGGGAGGGGAGGGGATGGGGGAGGGCGGGTGGCAAGAAGGGAGAAGGGGACTAAGGCGCACTATAATTTGCAATCACAGTACAGGTTGGTCACGGGGAAAGCAGTACAGCGGGGAGAAGACAAGTAATGACTCTTCAGCATCTGACTACGCTGATGGGCAGTGACTGCAATGGGGGGCGAGGACTTGATAATCCGGGTGGATGTTGAAACCACGTTATTGTTCACGTGAAACCTTCATAAGATTGCATATCAATGATACCTTAATTAAAAAAAAAAACCTCAGGCAAAGCAGAGACTTTCTGTAAGCCATTTCTAGAGCCTGTACCTGTGTGGCCATTTATCAGTCTTACCCTGAACACAACCCTTTATTTAATGGCATGCCTCCTTACTTTTCAAACATAAAACTTCACAATTATTCCTTTTATGCCTATTATAAATCACTTGCTTTTGGTGTAAAATTAAAAGTTTTAATCTTTTATCAGATTTGCATATTATTTGTGTTGATATTTTACTTTATTATAAATAATTTGTCAGGAATCGCATTTTTAGTCTTCAGATTGAAATGGAACTAATACTTAGCCTCTCTCTAGTGAACTAGTAGGCGGAAAGGAATCCTTTGAATTTAGAAAGGAAAGTGGAGAAAAGTGAAGCATATGTACACACCTTCCGTTTCCCTTGTCAAGGATCCATCCCCGCCTTTGTGGTTGGGTTTTGGCGGGAATCACAGTTTCAGGGTTTGAATGCTTGAGGCAGAGCAGTAGGAAGTGTTCAGGTCTTTGGAAGAAATGGAAGTGCTTTTGTGCCCTCGGGAGAAGAATATGGTTATCTGAAGAATCAAATATTTGCTTATTTTGGCCATTTGTGTCCACACAATGCGCAGAGTGGGAACCTGTTGTAAAACGTGATTAAGGACCGTGCAGAATCATTTGTTATTTGGGATTCTTCCTTCCGGGGGATTCTCAGGATTCTTGTTCCTGTAACCACTGCCATTGCTTGTCCCTCCGTCTTCCTCCCACCAACGAGGGGAACAGCATCATAGCAGAAGAGGTCTGTGTGGAAAGCTTTTCTGTGTGTATCCTCATGGAAAGAAAATACATTCAAGATGCTTGACACATTTTGTAGCTGCTCAATAAATAATCTTAATTTTTTTATTGCATTTTATTTTTTGAACTGTGTATTAACCAAAGGTGCAAAGAGGTATACAGGGAAGTCCCATTGGCTCTCTTCACCCAACCTCTCCTCACTTACCATCTTGTGTTTCAGTGGCATAGTATCAAAACCAGGAAAATGACATCAGTACCATCCTTAGAGTTTATTCAGATTTCACCTTGAGTCACACATGCACTCAAGGGTGTGTGTGTGTGTGTAGTTCTGTACAGTTTTATTACATGTTTAGCTTTGTTTAATCACCACAATCAAGATACCTGACTGCACCATCACCTCCTCAAGTGCTGCCCCTGTTTATACAGCCACAACCATGCACGCCATCCATAGCCCCTGGCAGCCCCTAATCTGTTCAGCAACTCTGTAATGACTTCCATTTCATGGATGTTTTAGAAATGGAACCAAGCGGTATGTTTCCTTTATAGTTACTTTGTTGTTTGTATCTCTGTGCTTTTTAGTTACAGCATTTTAATGCTGTTAATTTTGCTTACTGATGGTAGCACTTTGGTTTAGCAGAGAAGTTGTTCAGATTTTGTTTTGTTTCATTCAGTAGGTTTCACTTGCCAGCACGTAAGTCACGCTGTCAGTGTGAACCATGTGAAGAAAGCGGTAACAGAGGCTCTGTGGTCTGTTTGTTCTGAATGTTTAAAAGAAAGAGGCTCTGATGGGGAGCCAGTACTGTCTTCTGATGTTTGGTTGTGCCTCAAGTGTGGTTTTCAGGTAAGAAAACGTTCTTTATGTGCGCATTTGTCTTAAAATATTTTTCCTTAAATGCTTTCTGTGAGTTACAGTGTTGAATGCTTTGAACTCAAGATAACTTTAGATAGAACTCTAAAGTTTATGTAAAACTCTCAATGCTGAGCTTAGAAATATTTGTTAAGATAAAGTAAAAAAGGTTATGTTCAGAAAGTAATCATTTGTGGTTTACAAATAGGTCAGAAGGGAATACACTCCACTCTCAGTAGTTCTCATTTCTAGACCTGCCTTTGCCTGTTTGTAGTCACTTAGGAAACAGATACAAGTTTTTTCCTCAGCTTTTTAGATTCTTTTTTCTTCTCTCTGAGAAAGGATTTTTATGCCTTTTTTTTTTGGCAAAACAATTTCTCTTAACAGCTTAGATGCAGTTGTTATTTATGATAAGGGAATTCTTTAATAGGATTAAAAGCATAAACATCTGTTTAAAGTAAGAGGAATCTTATTATCTCACATAGACAGCCTAGAAGTAGGGCCACTTCTGGGCTAGTGAATTCAGTGAAAAGAACATTAAAAGATGAGATTTCTGCTGTGCCATTCTCGATTTCATGGCTGCAGGATGGCCAAAGATGTTTCCTGCATTATGTATCACACAGCAATCCCCAGAGGCCAGGAAGAAGGCGAAAAGTGCATCCCCTCCCTGTGTTCTTTTTAAAATAAGTACAACTTTTTTGTTTGTATTTCTGTGCTTTTTAGTCATTTAGCCACCTTTGTGGCGATATAAACCAGAAACATGCAGCAGGATGCTACTTACGTTGCATTGACCATAATTGCATCTCATGTCTTTATCTGGTGAGGGGAAGTACTGTGGCGGGTCTGAATCTCACTAGTTCCAGGTTAGGTTGGGTGGAGGTGCGCTCAGTGTAGGAAACGTGTGCGGAGCAGGGAGCGCCCACCGGCCCCTGGGGATGCTCAGTGCCCCACCATGCACAAGATAGAGAGTGCATACATTTTTAAACTATAGCGAAATAAACTTGGCTCATGACTGTTTTAGGGAAATTCTGTATAACAAAAAGCAAGTTGGCCTCTTTGCAAGAAATTCATGAGAATCTACATTGCTTTCCTGCACTCTTCCTTCCTGCTTGAAATTAAAAAGAAAACTTTTCAGTATAAATTGGAGTTTATGATTTAAGTTCTGATGAGTTTGAAAAATCCCTACGTGCGACTCATACAAATAGCATCCTGTTCATCTTCAGGGCTGCGGGAAAAACTCAGAATGCCAGCATTCGCTGAAGCACTTCAAGAGCTGGGCAACAGAGCCTCACTGTATTACAGTTAGTCTGAGCACGTGGATTATATGGTAAGTTAGATTTTGTTAGTACTTATGTGCTCTATAAAAATACCTTTTGCCTTGAGCTTTATGAGTTTATAAGTATATATATCTATATATATACATAACATATATATAAAGATGTTATACCAGTTTATGCTTTTTAGCCTGACCAACCTATGAAATAATTTTAAAAAATGAACATTACCCATGAATGTAAACTTTAAACAGTAAAACATTTAGTGATTCCTCTAACAATTCTAGTGTATGAGAAAGAAACACTGTGGCTCGTTGATTTTGTGTAATAAACTTGCTAATGCACAATTCCAGGGTCCCAGAGGAGGAAAGCACTTCAGGCAGTCAGGTGCTTTGGGAAAGGGGAGGCCTGGGCATATGTGGTTTATACAGATTCAGGTGATCCTAGTCTTTAGCCCTGCTTAGGAACCAAGTCCAGTTCCCTCATTTTACATAGTAAGACATTAAGTATCATTTACGTTTTTGTGGTTACAAAGTAAAAATCCAGGAACTGAAACAAGTCTTTCGGTCCCCTAGTCTCTTACCAGCACACCACACTGCTGCTTAGCCGCAGTGTAAGTGGATACTATAGGAAAAGTTTTCCCTGTATTTTACAATGAAAAATTTCTAACTGGCATCGTAGGGTTCCTTGAGTGAATTCTCAGAAGTTTTCAAGTTTTCTTTTGGACAAAAATATTTTAACTTTGTGTTTTCACTTCAGGGTTCTAAAATTAACACAAGGATATTTGGGCTTATGGAAGGGATCACCACTGTATAATCTAATGCAGCCACAGGGGCCGCCCACTGACTACACCAGTCTTCCCTATCTCTGTACTTGGAAACTCCATCACTTAAGTATTCAATCCAGAAGCCTGGCAATGACATTATTCCCCTTTTTATCTTATATTATTTTGTAACCTTTAACAGAAGTAGACAGAATGGGATAATGAATTTCTGTGTACCCATCACCCAGCTCTAAACATTAACAACTCATAGCAAATCTTGTTTCCTTTAGACCAGGATTTCTCAGTCTCAGTACTAATGTGTTTGAGCTGATGATTCTTTGTTGTGAGAGGTCACACATTCCTGTACATGGTAGCATCCTGGCCTCTACCCACTGGATGTTTTCCCGATTGTGACAACTAAACTATCTCAAAACATTGCCAAATGGCAAAGCTGCATCTCCTTGAGAACCACTGACATTCCCTCACCTATTTCCTCTTTCCCATGGCAGTTGTTGTGACACTCACCTCCCCCTTTTCTTTTATACCTAATTCATGACAGTTGCTACCTGAACATACGTAAGTAAACAGATCTGTTCATTTCTTTCCAGATCCACCACGTCTCTTCTGATCTGCTTCTATTCCTGATGCCCTCCAATCTGTCAGGGAGATGTTTTTAAATGTAAATCGGATCATACCACTTTCCGGCTTCAACTCCCCACTCCATTACCCTTAGGATAAACTACCAAGCTTTAATTTGAATGATAAGGCTCTGTCTGTATGAGCTATCCCCTGCTTATGTCTCTAGACTTCCCTAGTGCCTCACCCTGTAATACCTCTTGCCCCGATAATATAAAGACAAAAGTAGGTAAATACCAACTTTATTACCTGATGTGCAACATTACTGAAGATGTTTTCATAATATTTGCTTACATTTTGTATTTTTTCAGGTGTTATGAGTGTGGTGAAAAATTATCAACACATTGTAATAAGAAGGTTTTGGCTCAGATAGTTGATTTTCTCCAGAAACATGTCACTAAAACACAAACAAGTAAGTTAAGCAGTCTATAAGGAAATCTGTATTAAAGTACAGTATTTTTTTATTTCATGTAGAGTTCATAAGTTTGTAAAGAGTAGCTTAGGTTTTGCTGTGACTTCTCAGGACTGGTGCCACGCCTCCTTAGGTAGCAAACCTGTGACATCATCTTGCTACCCAACCACTCTGAGGAGCTGGAGAGGGACTAGGTCCCTGGCTTTTGAGTCAGACAGTACTGAGCTGGAATTTGGCTCCTCTTAAATCACTTACTGTCCATGTGACTTTTACTCCTTAGTTTCCATACTTAAAAAAATCAGGATGATAACTTTATCCTGGCGGGTAGTTGTGAGGCTTAGAGATAATGTTTTCTAAGGATCTTGAAATGTATCTAAAACTTATGAAACATGTGTTTATGAAATAATGTTATTTGTTACATAATTGTAGTACAGTTCTGACACTACCTACCTCGCGTTAGGCGAACCTTGCAAATAAAGGGGTCCATCCACAAGATTGCCCTTACTTCCGCAGGCACCATCTTCACGCTTAGGGTCTCGGACCACCTGCATTTCTGACCAACTGGCTACGAATTCTGGCTTCCCACCACCCTCGTAGGTTTAATAATTTGCCAAAATGACTCGTAGAACTCAGAAGAGTGCTTATACTTAAAATTGGTTTATTATATTAGAAAAAAAAGAGATACAAATTAGAATCAGCAAAAAAAAGAGACCCCCAGGGCGCAGGCCGGGGAAGTCTGAAACATGAAGCCCCTGTGTGACGTGTCCTATGGCGCTGGGACACGTCACATTCCCCGCCCACTGATGGGCAACAGTGTTCACCAGGAAGGCTCACTGGAGCTTCAGTGTCCAGAATTTGTATTGGGATTTCATTGCACAGGCATGACTGAGTCACTGGCCGCATAATTAAACTGTCCCCAGCAACCCAGCCCTGTAATCACACGGTTGGTGTTTGGGGCGTGGCTGGCTCCTGTCCTGAGTCGTCTCAGAGCATAAACTGTCCGAGGGCTCACTCATGTCACTCAGGGAGAAGTCCAGGGTACTCAGGGAGAAGTCCAGGGTACTCAGGAACCTGGCACAAAGGGTAGCCAAACCCTTTATTGTACATGAGTAATATATTACACATTATATGCTTTGTTACCTAACATGTAAGCAGCACATATGTTAACGTAAGTTAGAGTATATAGAGAAGCAGTTTCTTGATTCAGAAATATGAGGGGCCTACCATAAGTCAGGTTTTATAGTTTCTTCAGTATATAGTGGTAAAAAAAACAATTTTATCTTGCCTTCTTGGGGTTTAGAGGATAGGGGGAGAGACAAGAAAATAAGCAAATATAGAACAGTATCTGATAAGTACTACAAAGGAAAAGAGCAGATTGCAATAATAGGTAATCTATTGGTCACAGTGATCAAGAAGGGCCACTGTGACTGGAGGTGGTTTGCTGGGAAAGAGTAGAATGAGGTGAAGTTAAGAGCTAGGTGGGCAGTACCGTAAGGAATTCCACGGTAAAGAGTTTTTATTTTATTGGAAGTGTAGTGGAAGCTATTAAAGTGTTTTAGCAGGGGAGTAACAGTCATTTCATCCTTTTAAAGTAGAGGTTACTCTGATTGCTGCGTGGAGAACAGACTTGGGGGTTAGGAGTGGAGGGGGGTGATCAGTAAGAAGGTGGAAGGAGGTTATTGCGCCTAGAGCAGGGGGAGGCTAGTAGAGGCATGGTGGACGGGAAGTGGACTAGAGTCGGTGCGTAGGGGGAGTGGGAGGAATCGGTACAAAGCTCAGGATTGTGATTAACCAGGTGAACGGCCGTGTATGGACATGATAACTTTGAAGTGCTTTTAGAGCAGAACTGTACTGTTTAGTAGGGGGGCATCCGAAACTGAAAATTTATATAAAAATATGGTTATCGGCTGTACTTTTGTAGCCCAGTATACAACCGTGTTGGCCAGCTATTGCTCTGAGACTGTCAGGGGCAAGAAATCGGAGGTGAAACTGGAGGAGGAGAGCTCAGGGTCCTGGTCAGCAGGAGAAATGATCGATTTTATTTCTCATTCATTTATTTATTCAACAAACATTTACTGAAATGCTGCTGTGCTCCAAGCACACTACCCATAGCTCCAGCTCTGCTCAGGGAAAGAACCAGGACGATATGGCGGCGATAGACATCTGGCGCTTCAGGGACACGTATTGGCCTTAATGCATCACCTGAAAACTGCACATTAAATTTGCTCTGTCGGTCATAATAAGATATGTAGGGGTATAATGCCCAGAGTGGCAGAAAGCACGGTGGTAGGGACCATTTTCCCTGGGTGTTTTACGTTAAGAGTTTCCTTGAGGTTAAGAACGAAGCCAGTCTGATTCCATTCAGTTTTACAGAGCTCTAGGATATTTCTTATGACACGGGGTGTAAGGTAGGGAGCATGGAGTGGTGCGGGAGCAAGAACGTGGGCCTGGAGTTCGGGGGGGGGGTCTGGCGTTCAGATCTGACCCTTCCATTCACTGGCTGTGTGACCTGGGGCACATTGCAGTTTGAGCCTCATCTGCTTCAGCACTTTCTCCCTCTTTCCCGTGGTGCTTCGGGGACTGGAGGTAAGACCATTCCTAAAGAAGTTGAAGATCTAAAAGAAGGAGTGAGATAAAAAAGTAATGATGATATAGAAGCAGAATAGAATTTGTGGCTTGAGTGGCGTTCAAAGCCCTTCAGATAGTGAAAGAGGGATGTAATATCCAGTCAGAAAAATCTCAGAAGGATTCGTGCATGAGCTGGCTTTCCAGCTGACCCTTGAAGGGATGAGCTTCGATAAGCAGAGGTGGATAAGAAACCATTTCTGGTGGTGGGAAGCTTTAATCATGCTTTTGCACCCAGCCTAGCACCTGGAACGGTCGAAACAGGTTTTTGAGGGAGCTTGAGAGTCAAGAGAGCCTTCACCGTTAGGGAGAGAGTTTTGAATTCACGGTTTCCGGAAGTTCTAGGGCAGAATGTCATTATCTTTGTATTCCAAGCTACAGTATCTCTCAGGCAAGTTTGATTTAACTTTGATCCTTTGGCATTCAGAAGTAAGTTTGTGGGGATCGTAATCTGCCGTATCTTTCTTGCATGAGGCTTTAGCATCTTTTTATGAAATATTAAAAAAGTCAAATATGAAAGTTGCTATGAGGTTTGTAGGCATGCTGGATATGATTTTGCAGCTATTTTAAGTGATAATTCTGAAGGATGTAGAAATGTGAAACTATCTGTATATGGAAATTCAAAGGGAACGTGAAACTGTCTATATTGTGTTTTGGGGGGAGGAAAAGAATGATTTTAAGAGACTCATGTTGTGTTTTGCACTAAGTAAAAATAACAGAGGGAAGCCTATAAAACTTAAGCATGTTTTTAAGTTATGCAGTGCCTGGGCTAATTTCTTGTCTCCTACATCTAATTCAGCTTTTCTACATGAGAAATAAAGAATCTGGTGCCCCCTCCATCTCTAAAAACAACAAGCTCAGTAAATCTCAACTTTTAATCTCAGTAGCCCTTTAGACTCTTAAAAAACTATTGAGGACTTACAGAGCTTTGGTTAGGTAGGCCACCATCTATCAACATCTATCATATTAGAAACTAAAGCAAAAAAGTTAAAATATTTATTAATTCACTGAAAAGCAGTAATTCCATGAGATAACAAAAATAACATACTTTTAAGAAAGACAATTCATCCAAAACAACACAAACTTAATAAGTGGCATTGTTCCACGTTTTGACAGATCTCTTTAATGTCTAGCTTAATAGAAACAGCTGGATTCTCATATCTACTTCTGCATTCAGTCTGCTGTGACAGTACATGACACGTAGCCTCCAGAAAACTGAGTCATGTAATTGAGAACGAATGAGAATTTTTTAAAAAGCAAAGAACATCTTAGCCTTGTATTATGGAAATACTTTTGACCTTGAGGGCCCCAGAAGGAGGAGGATATGTCTTCAGATCCACTTTTAGAACTGCTGAGCTCCCACATTTCTGTCTGTATTTTCTTCCTTTGGCCTTACTGCCCTTAGGCTCAGCTCAACACCTACTTTAGGGGCACCTTCCTACTTCTTTGTCTTATCTTTTCTACCATGCAGCATACCTTAGAATGTACGGACACATGGTTTTGTGGTGCTTAACTGTCATGTGTGTAGGTGTCTTATTTATGAAACTGTGTTCCTTGAGGATTGTACCCTGGCTTATTTTCTTTTTGATTGTCATGTAGCGAAGCAGTAAATACTTGCTGAACTGAACTGAACCAGCATGTGACCAGGTTTTACTGAGGAAGTAGATAAGCTTTGCATTTTCACCAAAAAAAATCCTGAATATTAACATCAAACCTATTTTTGTTATTCAGTTTGACTTTCTACCTTGTACCCAGATCCTGTGCTAGAAATTGGAGATGCAGTAATTAATGAAACAGACCTATTTCTCATTTCCTACCCTCATATAGTGAGGAATATTGACCCATCACATTTAATTAGAATTATTTTGTTTAAATAATGCTGTGACCTAGCACAGAGGATTCTAGAACACTTTGTAGTAGTAGCCAACCTAGACTGGATGAGCCAGGAAGATTTTATTTAGAGGAAGAGATTGCCAAGCTGAGAGCTGAAGGTCATCTAGGAATGATCCAGGCAAAGAGGGAAGGGGTGTGTTCCAGGCAGAGGAAACACCCTTCAGTGAGGGAGCTGGGAATGCTCAAGGAATTCTGCAGAGCTGCAAGGTTGCGTTTTGTGATGTTGGGGGAATGGTGAGAGGTGTGACTCTAGAGGTAAGTAAGAACATATATTGAAGGGCCTTGTAAGTTTAGTTTGTCCTGTAGGCAGTAAGGAACCACTAGTAGATTTTAACTGGAGAAGTGGATGGTGAGTTTCATGTTTTAGAATGGTCCATAGGCTATAGTATGAAATTAGAGAAAAATGCCTTTGTATGTATACTTCCCACGTATGTGGCAATATCAATTTATTATATGGCTAAATAAAGATTTCTAGGGCTGAT